CGAAGGAAGCCTTTACCATGGTCTTTTTTGACTCAAATGCCACCATGACAGAAGAGGGGTATAAAACACTATTTACCATCCTGTCCTGTGATTTCTCAGACATACAAATTGTATTTGTGATCATAACTTGAGACTTGGAAAGAGGTAAGAGATAAATCCCATGAGACTTGATACATCCCTAGAGTCTTCTATGGGGAGGGGAAGATGAAATAGGAGCTGGTCGGAAGGCAATAGGGTTGCAGAAGAAAATAAGATAGCAAGTGAAGATGGAATTGGGCAGTTTTGGGGTGCTGAAAAAAATGGTGGTTCCAGCATGATTCAAGAGCAGTGAAACAGAATCAGCATTAATATTTCTATGCAGGGAAGACTGACACGACATGATATTTGTCTGTCTAGTGTAGATGCCCAGAAGAAGATGATGATTTGAAGGCATTGAAAATATATGAAGACTGCACTAGCTGCAGGTGTTGCAATGGAAGAGAATATTTGTAGTTCAGGATTGAACTGTGCTTTCTGAACCTGAGAAATTTAATAATAGCTACACACCTACGTACAGCTTAAGATAATTTGATTTCAGATGAGGACATAGTGAGCTGGACACTCCTGAAGGAGTAGGGATGGCATTACAGTGGAGATTGGTGTTCCATGGATGAATATGACTGATAAAATCTCTCTGGAGAAAGGAGAGATCATGAGATTACTAACACATACTCAGGACATTTGCTCTTTGCAAAAGACTGCAGGAATTGAGTTTTTGCATTTGACTTACCAAGAACTAAGAGTTGGGGGGTTCCAAGTAACCTCACAGTTGTAATGTACGAACATACAGTTTATTCAAGCAGTTTGGAGAAAGCGGAAACTATTTCTTTACATATATAACTTTTTCTTTATTGTATTCTTATTTTTCTTTCCTTTTTCTTTCTTTTTCCTTTTGTGCACTTTCTATTTTTTCTTTACTCTTTTTAAGTTTCTATTAGTTTTATCTTTTTAATTGTAACATTTAATAACATTATTTTTAAAATGATATTAACAGAAGGTACTTTGATGTAGGCAATGAGATAATTGATCAGAATGGTAGTGAAAATCAAGCTATGAACCAATTTAGTACATTTCTTTTGTGGCAGAAACCAGAAAAGAGAAAGGACCTGAAGCTCTGCTATGTTTTAGCTGATTGCTCCCTTGTTTCATTATTTAATTGAAAAACTCAATCAGAGAAACTATCTTTCTATTTCCTAATATAAAAAAATGTTGCAAAAAAAAACCCTAGTATGAAAAACTTAGGAAAATTACAGTCAGATCATATGATGCTTAGTGGAGCATTATAAACAATGCCTGTGTGAAGATGGTCTCCAAATTCAATACATTTGACTGTACTTAACGATCATTAGGGACTAGTCTAATTCACGGAGCAAAGCGTACTACTTGTAGATATTTGTAAGCAAAGAAACAAGCTTCTAAGAATCCAGCTGGATAATACATTGCAAGTTCTCCTCAATTTGGTTTCACTCATGCTTTGGACTTATTTATTGATTTGGGTTTATAGAAGACAGCTCTTATGCTGCTTTACCCCCCAGTAAGCTCTCATTCAACATTACACACAATGTGCATTGTAAGCATATGGATATACAGTCAACTATTGAAGTAGGCTGCCACATAAAGTGGTAAGTTGTTTGCTGCAGCATTAAGGTTAGGCTGGTTAGTTAGCTATAAGAGATGCTCTAACGCAGGGGTGTCAAACTGAAGGCCCATGGGCCGGATCTGGCTTCCTTGGAAACAATGAAGGACTGACTCACGGTGCCTCTGCCAAAACAGCAGCCCTCTTGAGCTCCATTTTCACTGGCAGAGGGTTGCAGGAGGCTATCACGGCCAAAATAGAGCTCGAGAGCCCATTTTTGCTGGCAGAATCCTCAGGCATCACAGGTGCCCCCAACATGAGTGATTTCAAGCTGGCCACACCCATGCCAGCCGCCCAAGGCCAAAAACAACTCTGATGCGGCCCTCAATGAAGTCAAATTTGACACCCCTACTCTATTGGATTGCGCGCTGAACAGAAGTTGGACTAAATGACATCTACAGTAGGAAACATCCAACTCACTGATCCTACTTATATGGCAATTATGTTGGCAAGTATGACCTGTAGCAACCTTGTGGTATTATAAAGATAGAAAATCTTAATTTTTGTGAACTAAAATCAACACATTAGAACAGAGATTCTCAAGGTATCCACTGAATCTGCCTCAGTCTCTTCACATATACCTCACTTACTGCCTTAGAGCTGCCTTACCACATTAACTGACAAGTCAGCTGACTAGAACGGAGCCTATCTTGCCACCCATTTTCCCACCTGCCACTGTATCCAAATTCATCTAATACCAATATGTTTGTATTTTGTCACAGCCATGCCAACACCAGTTTTTTGACACCAGTATGTCCACTGGCGCAACCGAAGCTCACTTTTACCTCAAGCATTCTCAGGCTGTTCTGCACAAACCAGAACATCTAATGCAAAGACTACAGGGGTTCCTCGACTTACAACCCCAATTGACCCCCAAATTTCTGTTGCTGAGTGAGACATTTGTTAAATGAATTTTGCCCCATTTTACGACCTTTCTTGCCACAGTTGTTAAGTGAATCACTGCAGTTGTTAAGAACATGGTTGCGAAGTGAATTCCCATTGACTTTGCTTGTCAGAAGGGCGCAAAAAGCAATCACATGACCCTGGAACCCTGCAACCATCATAAAAATGAGTTAGTTGCCAAACGTCTGAATTTTTGATCATGGGGAATGTGGCAATGGTCATAAGTGTGGGAAATGGTCATAAGTCTCTTTGAATGGTCACAAAACCAGTTTGTAACTTTGAATGGTCACAAAACAAACTGTTGTAAGTCAAGGGCTAGCTGTACTTTGCGTTCCCACTAATTAGGAGGAAAATGTAATTCTGCATGCAAAGTGAGAAGGCAGATACATTTGGAAAGGATTTTTAAATTGCTTTTCTTTTCTCCATTCCTTATTTCAGCCGATCTTGTCCTTGACAAAAGAATTGTCTTCGTTGCTGCTCCTCTACTTTTCCCAACCTCCGAGTTAACTCTCCCATAAAGGAGACTATAAATAATACGAACAAGATTAAATAACTATCACTTTAACATTTCTTTAAAAATAATCTCCCTTATTCTCCACAGCCAAAAACTGCCTTTTTTTTAATGTGCTCAGAGTAATTTGCAGCTAAATAAGAGAGGCATTGATTATGGTGATATTATTTATTTAGAGGTTGGTGTTTGACTTAGGAGGTTTTGTTGATTCTTGATAATTTGCCAGATCCAATTGATGATTGTTAAAATGTATTTGGACAATGTCCCTGCTTTTAATTTGAAATTAAACACTCTAGAGAATTTATCAATGCATTTAAGAGACATCACTATCTTTCATCTACAGTTCTCAATTCACTATCATATTTTAAATAGGTTGATTTCTCAACCCACTCTGCCCTTCATTAAGAATAGAAATTCAGCCAAACATAGGTTCTTTCCAGGTAGTATAATTACTAAGGAGATGCCTTGTGAACTTTAAAAAGTATTATGCAAGTGCTGAGAATTAATCTTTTTATACTGAAATAATTCTCAAACAAGCACCTAACAAATATATTACCTTTTTTTGGAGAAAACATATTAAGAATACTTTGCAAAGTTTTTGCACTTATAAAAATGTTTTAACTTAATGTTTCAGTTTAAAGTAATTTAATGGATTGCTACAGATAGGTCTTGATCAGTGCAGTTGCTATAGCCCACAAAATGATGACATTGTTTAAATTTGCACTACTCATAATTATATTTCTATGGAAAATAGGAATGAAATTTTAAAAAGTGTTTTGAATGTTTATTAGTGAAATAGAACAGTAAACTATTACAAGATAAAATGTACTTAAAATTAATTTTATTTTTTACAAGACATAGAGTAACTATAGAAAGCAAAATAACATTCTAAATATCATTACTATCATGGAGATAAACAGATATCTCATACTTAAATAGTTAAAAAGGACAGGCTTAAGGATAAAACTATATCCAAAGCATTTCTATATTCTGTTGTAGTTCCTTAAATTGAACCTCTTCGTTTTTGTCCAATGGAATCCCTTTTCTCTCCATTCTGAATACACAACAAATTGGGGTGTTTAAAACCGCAACAACTGCACACTCACTAGGCTCAAATGCACACATGCTAGCCTTCCATTGACTGAGTTTTGACTCACATTAAATGTGACCTGATATCAATGTATAATTTATATTAAATTGAGTATTGAACAATTCATACTTGCAGAAATTGTGACCTTCCTGTATACACAAATATTTTAAAAACCCACTGCACTCTCCTGTATCATGAGATTCTGTACTGGTATGGGGATGATCTGTCAGGCCTAGCTGAATTATACTGATTCTAAATATCACTATGTGCCATTCTCCATATTGTCCCAGAGACCCAATCTGGTGTAGTAGTTAAAGCATCAGGCTAGAAACCAGCAAATGGTAAATTCTAGTCTCAGCTTACGCAAAACGCTACCTGGGTGGCCTTGGGCCAGTCTCTCTCTCTCAGCCCTAGGAAGCAGGCAATGGCAAACCTGAAAACGTTGCCAAGAAAACTGAAGGAACTTGTCCAGGCAGTCATCAGGAGCGAACACTGAAAGCACATCTTCAAAAAAAAGAAAAAAACATTCCTAACCCTGCAGTTGGTTGGCCTGATCCCAAAACACTGAATGGCTGGCCTAAAGACCTGAAAAGACAAAAAGCAGAATTCACAGCGACCTGGAAGGAAAAATTTAGAGGGGTGGGGGATGGAAAAGAGATCCAAAAAAGGAGTTTTACAGATGAAAGCAAAGGTAGGAATAAACTTTACAAGGATCTCTTTACAAGGTAGGGAAAGCTGAAATGTATACGCAGAGTTGAAAAACAAAAACCTAGCCAGACAGTCCTGAAACTTATAAAATCAGAACCACACAATATACATACAGTAAGCCATGAGACCTCAGGCCAGAATGAAGACAGAGCATCTCCCAGCTGATGTTCACTTGACAGGGAATTCAATTTTTTATATACTTAAGGTATCCTTATGTGTTGTGGAGTGACCTTGATCAGATTTTACCATGTGCCAAAGCCTAGAGGAGCTATGGATGGCTAGTACAGCCACACCTTGATCTCATGTTCCTGGCAACAAGTAGGGACTGGAGACAGGGTAGTACATAACGGATTAAGCAAAGGCCTTGAAACCAACCCAGCCCATTCAAAGCCATAGGCATTATGCATCTGCCACAGGCATTTTAGGAGGATTATTCACTGCAGCACTTTGTCACGACATCATGGAAAAGAACTCTAGGGCTACCAAAATAAAAAATAAAAATCAGATTGTTTTTGCTATAGACCTCTGATGCGCCACGAGTTTTCCTCTTTGTTTGTGGATAAAGGAGAGTGTTGTCCTGCCTCTTTTCTGGATCTGCCTGCCCTTGTCAGTGCATTTTCTCCAATCCAGGTACACCTTTTATCTTCTCAACAATAGGTGACCTTTTCTGACTTGGAGGGAAACAATGGAGTGGATTTCACTGCCGCATTTCTATACAGTATAAGATTCACTTTTCGTCTGCTGGGAAGGAGTTTTAAACATGGATGAATGAAAGAATGAATGAATGTGGTTTTTCTCGTTGTGCGTTGCAACAGGTGTGGCAAGTTCATTAGAGTCCTTAAGTGCTGAATGGGTCTCCCCCACAAATGCTCTGATTTGTAGTTAAGCACTTGTGTAGGCCCTCTTGGGCTACTCAGGATTGTTCATGTTGGAGCTGAGAGGAGATGGTTGAGTCCAGTGGATGAACCCCATCAGGCACAGCATTGAGGCTAAATCAAGCCTTTTCAATGCCATCCCATTTATAACCAGTGAAAGAAATTCAGATATTCCTTCAGCACTTCTGACAATTGTTTGCCTCATCCAAGAAGCTCTTCCTTATTCTACTACCACAGTCTACATGAACAATATTCATCTCAGTCTGGGGTTACTTAAGAACTTTAACATTAAACAGTTTGGCTTTTTGTTTTTACCACACTTTAGCCTTTTTCAGAAAAGAGCAATGTAGGCAATATATAGTAAACAAATAAATAAATTGGGAGTGTATTGGACTGTAAACCCTGAAGGCAGCAGATTTTTAAATTTGATTTTTTTTTACTGAATTCCTTTGAGTAGGTTTTCTTGGAAAGGCACAGTTAAACTTTTTAAAGATCTCAATTTCACTTAGGGTGTGTGGGTGTGTGTTTGAGGAAGAAGTTCATGGCATTAGCCTAAAGTCAAATATTGTCTTTACTCTTAATTGGATTTGTGATGTCACATTGATCCAGAGATGATTGACTATATAACAATATTGTGAAATGATAATGCACACTATGTAGTTTATGACTGATTCCATAAAAAAGAAGAAAAAAGGCAGAAAACCATTAAATAAGGAAAGAAAATATAATCTGATTTAACTTCAGTTCTAACATACTTACAGCAGAGGCTGGATGTAAATTGTTGATAGCATAGTTGATTAACTTCAAGAAAGTTATTTGAAATGTTTGAAAATGCCTTGTATACTTTGATCAGCCTTCCAGCACTGGAGGAAGACACTAAAAATAAATAGAGGAAGATTTGTTTACTTAATAGGTCTTTTATTTATTTATTTTATTTTTTATTTGTCAATTGCTTACAAGATAATAGGTATAAGTAAAAACATAGTTATGAATACATGGATTCATATAAGAAAAATTAAAAAAATCTAAAAGAAACAATAGGACAGGGACGGTAGGCATATTGGTGAACTTATGCACACCCACTACAGACCTCTTAGGAAAGGGGTGAGGTCAACAGTAGACAGTCTAAAGTTAAAGTTTTTGGGGTTGGGGGAAAAAACCAGAGAGTCAGGTAGAGTATTCCAGACATTGACCACTCTGTTGCTGAAGTCGTATTTCCTGCAATCAAGTTTGGTGCGATTAATCTTAAGTTTGAATCTATTGTTTGCTCTTGTGTTGTTATGGTTGAAGCTGAAGTATTCATTGACTGGTAGGACCTTGCCTGAGCTGAGCTAGCTGCTTCAAATATAGTGGTACCTTGGTACTCAACTACTTTGAAACTAGTCGAATTTGGTACTCAATGCATTTTGATGCAAAAATTTTGCCCCACTACTCATCATTTGTTTGGTACTCAACACACAAGTTAGAACTTGTCAGTGCCAGCTGCATTGTGACTCACTACATCATTCCTTATGGGAAAAAATTGGTACTCATCGTTTTTGGTACTCATCGCACCTTAACAATGAGTACGGAAATACCACTGTAGCTTATATCAGTTTTCAAAAGTCTGCTTTTTTTAGCATAGTATTAATAAGATACGAGGGATAAAGATGTCAGATCCATGTATCTGTCATATCTTCAGTGGAAAAAGAAAACGGGGGGAGGCTGATAAAGAAATCCTTTCTTGATGTAACCTGAATATATTTAATCTTATATTGAATTTTTATAACCCACACATGATACAATGGAGGGAGAAAAGCCAGATGGCCGGAACCTATCACCTCTGGGAGAGACAGCCAGGAGATGAAGAGACCATAAAAATTCCACAGTGAGATGTGTCCTGGGAAACTCTGAAAAAGATCGTTCTAAAAAGGGGGTGGGGGAGAAATTAGGTATGTCCTGGGAAACTGTGAAAAAGATCGTTCCTTACAAAAGGGGTGGGGAGGAATTAACATGCTGGCTTTTGTTTCACTAAATACACATCGAGATATGGGGAGGGGTTCTAAACTCCCTTATGTATCCCTGTATGCCTGAGAGCCTCAGACGCTGCTTTGAACTCCTACATGAATTGTCTCATCTCAATAAAGGATTCCTTTTTGATATGTCTTGATACGTTTTCAGAAGTTCATTCTAGTTGAGTGAATGGGAAAAGTTCTGTAGTCTGACAAAAATACAGCAACCATACCAAACAATCATACATACAGAGACAGATAGACAGAGACAAGAAGAACACACACTGATACTATTTAGCAGTGATCATCCACCAATTTTTTTTCTGAAGAGGAAATCCCCAGATCACTAAATAAAATGTGTCTATAACAATAAAAGAGGCCTATTCTCATTTGCATTTATATTTGCATTTATCTATACAGAGTTATATACAGTAAGAGCATGCAAAGCAGAGGTGGTATTTAGCAGGTTCTGACCAGTTCTGGAGAACCAGAAATTTTGAGTAGTTCGGAGAACTGGAAAAATCCCACCTCTGACTGGAGTTTTTACAGTATCCTTCCCCTGCCATGCCCACCAAGCCACACCCACAGAACCGGTAGTAAAAAAATTTGAATCCCGCCATTGATGCAAAGGGCCAGAAGCAAACACTTTTGGTTGTTCTGAAGAAACAAGAATGTCAGAAGGGGTCTTGTCAACTCTTATGTCAACAAAAGTTGTTTCAGGTAAAAGACTCACTTGTCTATTTTCAATTACAACACTGATTTCAAGTATCTTTCCCTTAGTGCAATCCTTCCTGTCACATTTTCCTCCTGATTACAGGTGGCTTTGTGTGTTTCCAACAATGAAAGCACAGCTTTGCTTAAAAAAAAAAAGAAAAAAGCACACATCATCTCCAGCAATTCTTCAAAGTAAATCTACACCTTGGTTTGGCTTGTGAGCAAAATTGCTCCCATCTCCATCCCACTTATCAACAAGAGATTTTGAGAACCTTTGCAGAAACATGAATCACTGACCATGTTCAGCATGACTGAAAACCACTGCAACAACATTTATTCCTCCACCATTCCTGTTTAATCCAACTATGGTGTAAATACAACACAAGCTAAGGAAAGGTGTAGGAATCACTGATAGACATGTATGGACAGCGTATAAGAGCTGCTGTGTCTCACAGATGTAAAACCAGTAGGGAATTATTTCCGGATATAAATTCCAGCTTCATAGGAGGGAATTTCCTGTGATTCCAATGCAATTTACATTCCTGCTATGATCCAGAAAATTATCAATTATCCCTCTTGTATTGATTTATTGATACTGTTTTAAAAACCCTGCAATCCTGCAAGTGAACTTAATCTCACACCCACTTTAGTCTCAGCCCATAGTTTAATTTAGTTTACTTTATTTTCATTGCACCTCGTACAATGAAATCAAACACCGTCTTCAGTGTACATCATGACCATGACCATGAAAATTAACACAAACACACATCCTTCACCCTTCACACATTGAACCAGAAACCCCCAACACCACACCAGTACTGCACTATACAGCAGAATTCAAAAGAGCTACTGTCCTGGGATAAGAAGCTGTTTTTCAGCCTATTTGTCCTTGTTGTTATTATTCTGTACCGTCTGCCAGATGGTAACAGTTCAAAAAAAGGGTGCCCAGGGTGAGATGATCTTTGAGAATCTTCTGCATATTATTCTCTGGATGGTATAAAGCAGAAAGAGTAACTCCACAAAACATCCATAACAAAATCTTTTTTATTGGTTCATCAGGTATCCTCATAACTCACATTTGTGACAAAGTTCTTCTTAATGTCCAATCCTTTGTATATCCGTCTTGTAGTATAGAAAGATTAAAAGGTCTCAACCCCATGATGATTGAAGCCTGGTATGAAATGGTGGTTTCAGGCAAGAGTGAGGGAGCCTCCCCCAACCCAACAAGGGTCACTATAGTGACCAATCAGGACTACAGATGTGGTCACGTGACATGGACTACATTTCCCAGGATACCTTTAACTACATTTACCATGATGCATTCCCTTAAGGGGACAGCTCACAATTCCTAAGTAAGTATCCCAAATCCCATTAACTCTAAACTGTCTGGACAGCACAGAGAATGTTTTGAACTTTCTTAAGGCAATAGGAGCTATAAAGCTCTTCCAGGGGAGAGGGCAACCAATGAGCCTCTGGGCAATGATGTTAACTCTCTGGAGTGCTTTCCTATCTGACACTGTGCAATTGGCAAACCATATAGAGATGCAGTAAGTGCATAGGTGCAGTAAGTGCAGTAGGTGAGCATAGTTGAGCAATGAAAGGTGTGCATTTGTAAACAAAAATAA